TAGACTATAGACTAGACTATAGACTAGATATAGACTAGATTATAGACTAGACTATAGACTAGACTATAGACTAGACTATAGACTAGACTATAGACTAGACTATAGACTAGACTATAGACTAGACTATAGACTAGACTATAGACTAGACTATAGACTAGACTATAGACTAGACTATAGACTAGACTATAGACTAGACTATAGACTAGACTATAGACTAGACTATAGACTAGACTATAGACTAGACTATAGACTAGACTATAGACTAGACTATAGACTAGACTATAGACTAGACTATAGACTAGACTATAGACTAGACTATAGACTAGACTATAGACTAGACTATAGACTAGACTATAGACTAGACTATAGACTAGACTATAGACTAGACTATAGACTAGACTATAGACTAGACTATAGACTAGACTATAGACTAGACTATAGACTAGACTATAGACTAGACTATAGACTAGACTATAGACTAGACTATAGACTAGACTATAGACTAGACTATAAACTAGACTATAGACTAGACTATAGACTAGACTATAGACTAGACTATAGACAAACCCCGCAAGGGTATTCTCAACTGAGAATAACGGGTGTAACGGCCCCGCGGACCCTAGTTTTGGCAGGCATGGAGAGTGTGCCAAAGTGATTACAAGAACTCTGTGAAGTCCTGTGTCAGGGCGAGAGGATGCCGCCCTCTAATTAAGACTAGACTATAGACTAGACTATAGACTAGACTATAGACTAGACTATAGACTAGACTATAGACTAGACTATAGACTAGACTATAGACTAGACTATAGACTAGACTATAGACTAGACTATAGACTAGACTATAGACTAGACTATAGACTAGACTATAGACTAGACTATAGACTAGACTATAGACTAGACTATAGACTAGACTATAGACTAGACTATAGACTAGACTATAGACTAGACTATAGACTAGACTATAGACTAGACTATAGACTAGAATATAGACTAGACTATAGACTGGACTATAGACTAGACTATAGACTAGACTATAGACTAGACTATAGACTAGATTATAGACTAGACTATAGACTAGACTATAGACTAGACTATAGACTAGACTAGACTAGACTATAGACTAGACTAGACTATAGACTAGACTAGACTATAGACTAGACTATAGACTAGACTAGACTATAGACTAGACTAGACTATAGACTAGACTAGACTAGACTATAGACTAGACTATAGACTAGACTATAGACTAGACTATAGACTAGACTATAGACTAGACTATAGACTAGACTATAGACTAGACTATAGACTAGACTATGGACTAGACTATGGACTAGATTATACACTAGAAAGTGGAGTTGCAATGTAAAAACACCATCAAAATTATCTTTTAATTAAAAAGTAATAACCAGTTTGCATTAACCACATGAAAATGTAAGAACTCTTTCTTATCAAACAAACTTCTGCAAGTTTACGGACTCAGACGTGTGTGAATTTTATTTATCAGTAATAAAGACAAAAATCATATGTACAATGTACATATGTAAGTATATATGTAAGCATTTGTATAAATATAATTAACAAAAATACAAGTATTTGAACTTAAAAATACAAATAATTGCTATTTGGATTTATTTTACGTTTTAATAATAAAATAAAAATTTGGCAATTATTTACAATTCAGTGATTATTAAAAAATTGGTGTTAAATGACAAATCATAATTTATTGTATTTAAAAAAAATCCACTTCATATACTTAGAAATGCATGTTATAAGAATGAGGTTCCCATCGGGTTTGGTCCTCAGTATTATGTTTTAAATTATTGTCATTTTAATCAAATATACTGAAAACTGATTAAATTATTCTTTATTTAGTTTAGAAATTTCTAGCCGATAACGAAAATCATCCAGACGTTTTACAAATCTTGTTATTTTCATTGTAATATGAAACGATAATTTTAGGAATAATCATGTATTTCATCATATTTAATAGGAATAAAAATTTGTCACCTTAAATTATTTAAACAAATCAAATTAAATCATTTATAATGAAATTATCGTAAATTATCACTATTAAATGAAATACTATTCACTGATTCAAATGTCAAACCATAATTAAGTAGTTTATCAAATAGAAAGGGTGCTTTAATAGTAGATTTTCTAAAATGTCAAAATAAATGAAATACTTAGCCCATTAGCCAAAAATGCCTGTAATAACCCATTAAACTTTGAAGCATTTTCCCTAAATTTACTAGTTCTAGAACCTCGCACTTGAAATAAAGATTTTGGCAAAATTTTAAAACCAATTTGGTTCGATTTCCTGTATAATTTAAAATTATAAAAATATATTTACGTTTTAGGGTTAATATAGACATTTTCGATGTTATTAAAATATGACATCGGTTATTTAAATCGGTTGAAAACTAAAAAAAAAATTTCACTACGGTTTCGTTAATTTCCCGATAATGCATAATTTTGCTTTGACCTTCACAGTTTATGGGTTAACATTTAACGGTTTTATTAAAACTTCAGATATGTATATGTTCCCTATTATCTGAAATTTTATATTCTGAAAAGGGGGCAGCACACATCTAAGACAATTATCTAGATCCTTAGATGATACATTTGAGTCCACATGAGATCTAAGAATAGTGTTCCGATAACATTTCACTTATCACAAATCGCCGCACTTTATTCTGTATAATCTATCTGATAGATACGACTTTAGAACTTGAAGTACACTAGAATCGAATAGATAGGTATTAGACCTTTGGTCCAAACTCTTATTCTTCCACCCAGGTGTCATTGGATTTTCTTATATATATGTATATAAAGTTTCCATTTCTGCGATACTCTCCTGAAAGAAAGGATCTATTTTGTTTCTTACTAAAAGTGAAGAGCTTCTGCTTAGCTGTAGAAGATTTGTCATGTTGCCAATTTCTTCTACATCTTCTCTTTTCCAGAAGAAGCCTATCAATTTCTGTATTAGAAAAAGGAATAGAGGAGGAATTTTTTATGTTCAGTAGTCTGAAAATATTCGCTTCCACAGTTCCGATAATGACAACTTCGATAAAAATAGGTCTCAACAACAAAATCCTTGAGGAGAGAATATAATCATGCGTTCTAGATCTAATTGTGAAATTAATACAATTTTTCCAGGGAATAGGGCAATATATAAACGAGTTGGCCGACTTTACTTTTTGCTTAATGGGCCCCTTATTACGTATTTTAATTTCTATTGGTTCTAATAAGAGTCCATGGTTCTTACGAATTTTCCAATCAGTTTTCGTGAGGGATGTTATATCCAGAATAAAATAACACCTAAGATATTCGGATCTTATTTCGACGAAAGTTGTCAGGGTAGAGAAAGTGCTCCAGAGTTTCATTGTTCTCTCTAAACGCTGTACATTAGTCTGAATATGTATAGCTGTGCCCGTAATCCCTTGTGTCGACTCAAAGTATCTACGTACCATCATACTAACCTTAGAATTGCCTATCTCATGCTGGTCTTACTCTTGTTAGGGTCATCTAATAGGATCTTTGTTTTTCTATAATCTGGGATTCTCTCGCCCATATTTTTAGTCACCCCTCGTTGCCTTCGTTAGGTTAACTACAGCGAGCTTCCTTCCTTTTAAAGCTAGTCGCCCTAATTACCTTCTGGTAGTCGGTAAATATGTTAACCCCTGTTGGCACCACATTTTTTCTAATCCAATTTATGCACTTCGTTATTGTTTGGACTTCTGTCTGGAAGCTAGTGTTGCGATTAGGTAAACGGTAGTATATTTCTGTTTCTGGGTCTTTAATATAGAACACCAGAATCGTTTTGTCCCCCCAGTTTAGAGCCATCCGTTTAGCAACGTATTCCTGCTGGCATTTGCTATATTCTATATTCTGCTGGATTATGACATTCTATATTGGATCATTGTTTCAAAGTTCTCGACATATTCTGTTTCTGGTATGCGATTGGACACGTTCGATGTTTGTGTATAGCCTTTCAATGTGTTCAGTATACATTGATGAGATGTGATTACCTTTGGTCAGTTATAGATAGGGCAGGATAGAGCTGTGCTGAGTACGATTCACCATCACATCTGGGATTCGAAATATCGTGTCCGAAAGTTTGAAAAAATCGCAATTTTCGCGCCTTTTTGAGACGTTATAACACATAACTTTGTTTAAAAAAGTCCATTCTTAATATCAGACACATCTTCTTTCTTCTTCAAGATAACTTCACAATATCTCAAATACTAGATGTGATGAGCTCATTCCTTTAGAATAGTATAACTTGGTATATGGTGTTAATTTGAGTCAAATCGTATGCTGCTCTAAGGCTTATAAAATCGTTCAGAAGAAGAAGAACATTTGTTTATTTCCCATTCTTTACTGATCAGATAGATAACGGAGGGCAATCCTATAAGTTGTTTAAATAATTTTCAAATGTTGTACAGTATTTTGTTAAATATTAATTTTAAATAATTAATAAATGGAAAGTACATTAGTAACTAACTACACATTAAACAATGTACATATATGATTGTTTGTTTTACAAAATACTGTTAAACGTTGTACTACCACATAGATAAGATACATTCTCGAACAGGTGTAAAATTGTTAAAAACATTGTAATTGAATGCAGCTCAATGTTAACGGACAACTAAATAAACATTCGTGTAAATAACGAATACCAATACCAATACCAATACCAATAAGAATTTACTTCATATACGATCAACTACAGACAGTTTGGAACTTTTACTTTAACATTGACAGTGAAATATTGAGTTGAACTCTTTGTTCGATTCTGTTCCGTTCTGATCGTTTCGAGAGTTATACAATATTTGCAGCTGTATTTTCTGTGTGTTTTGTTTCAAATTCAGCTTATTTTCTGCCACAAAAGCAAATAATTAACATTATACTTAAATATATTATTATTATTTAATAATATTATTGTTAATAAATGTTATATTGTTACTTTAATTATTGATGTTAAGTTAAAACAATCGGTAGTACGGTTTAAACCTTTTAACAATTCACTACAATCGCCTGTTTGAAAACTAATTGAAACGTTATTTTTTTTTCAAATTGAAATTTAAATGCGTGTTTTCGTGTTAAATTACAAGTGTTGGAAAAAAATATTATTATTAAAACAATTATAAATATTTTAATAAAATGAGAATTTTGTTAATAAACTTAATAAATTGTTAAAGTTTTTTTTTTTGTGTGCCACATAAATTAAAGTTTAACTTAAATGCAAAATAAAGAAGAAAAAAAGTATTAAAAAAATTTTAATTGCAACCAACCATTAAATTGTTTTATTTGTGTAAAATAATAAAATTATTAAAACTTAAATATTATTAACAAAAAAAAATGGAGGTTAAAACAAATGAAATTAATGGAAGAGTCACAACTACGGTTTCAATAGAAGTAAATATTATTGACTTAAATGTTTTGCATTATAATTTATTATTACAAAATTTCAATTTAAAATTTATTTAATTTTAGTTATAGTCAGTAAAATTGTTCATTGTTATAAAAAATATATAATTACTTAATCTTAATAGTTTTAAACTTAAAAACAGGTTAAACACATTTTTAAATATTTTGTTAAAGCTAAAACAATTTTACCAAAAAAAGTATAAAATTTTTAATAGTTGGGATTTGAGACCAATGATTTTTGTTTGAAATTTGTCACCTTCAGAAGCGTTATGGTTTGGACACTGTTTTTTGGTCGAATTTGTCAGATTAGAAACACTTTTTTAGAACATTTCCGCGATTTTTGATTGAAAAACAATTCAATTACACAGGACAATAATGAAGATGCATTTTAAATAATTTTTATTAATTCCAGTATTATTTGGTGTGTGGATTCCGAAAATGGAAATAAAAAAGTCGTATTACCCACCTATTTTTCCCATTTTGATATTTTAGTCCTTGTGACTGTATGCTTGTGTCCCAAATATTCAATTCCTTTTTACAGACCTCTAGACTTATATACTAAGTTATAAAAATGCATTCTGGGAAAATTTAGGGCGATAGGACAGCGGTTAACTAATGGATCCAGGCTCTGAAAGGGGAAAATCATGTTTGCCAAAATTTTAATTATATTGTAAAGATTATAAAAGGAAGGACAAACTTATGTACATTAGGGTCATTACTTTTATACAATTATTGAACATTTCAAATTGGCCCTATCCATTCTAAAAAGAGTATAAAAATGTACATCGTAAAAGTATGTCAAAGTATATTCTCCAGCGTTAAAAAAGTTCAAATTTTTTAAAACAAAATCGGAAATTGTTTATATAAACAAGTGTAACTGTTTGACCCATTATATTTCATTATTAGAACACTACTGGGTACCACCTAGTGATTGCGCCTATTGTTAATTTTTAACCCTATTGTATACCCTTTTAACTTAGGCAAAGGATATAAAAACAAATCAGTACAGTTTGCAAAGCTCAATCAGTAATGTCTTTATTCAAACAAAATTTGAAATTCTTTGTTCTAAAAATATCATTCAAAGACCGTGATTAATAAACCATTACTGCATATTGTAAAGGGTGTTTCAAAATTGCGAAATATTTGATATAATAAAACACTGTACTTTTATACCACTGTTAGTGAAGTTCAATCCTTTACAAAAGCCTACTCTAGTTTCTGGGTTTTTTTGCATACTTAGGGCTTTCAGATAACAGCAACAGTTTTTAAATAATAATGACTTCGGGAAAATTGGGTTATTTCATACTTAAGGCTGGAGACATTCTGAAATTCAAGTTCAGCGGGTTTCGACTTTTTTTTTAAATTTTGTCGGCCTATGTTATTTGCATACTTTTATAAGGAATAGTTTCAGATAACATTGCATAATTTTTAAAATAAAGGTGACTTCATGTTGTTAGTGAAGCTCTTAACAATCCTATGTTATTTGCATACTTAGAGCCGGTTTTATAGGGAAGAATTTCAGATAACATAGCAACATTTTTTAAAATAAGTGTGACTTCGCGAAAACCCGGTTATTTCATTTATTTAAGGTGGAGTCATTCTCTAATTCAAGTTCAGTGGGTTTCGACTTTTTTTTAAATTTGGCGGCCTTTATTATTTGCATACTTAGGGCTGGTTTTATAGGGAAGAATTTCAGATAACATTGAAAAATTTGTACCACCCTTATTGTACAAATTTTTCAATGTTACGTTGTTAGTGAAGCTTAATCCTTTACAAAACTATTCTCTAGTTTCTAGGTTTCGACTTTTTATAAATTTTGTAGACCTATGTCATTTGCTAACTTTTTAAAATAAGGGTGTCTTTGCATTGTTTTAACGTTTCATTTTTATCGTCAAATCTGACGTTTTTACCGTCAAATCTGACGTTTTTACCGTCAAATCTGACGTTTTTGAAAGAGCAATTGTGGAAAAAATGCATTTTAGCAGTTAGCGGGAAATTTGGCGAATTTTGACCTGCAATTGGAGATTTTTGACGTTTTTTTCACGTATAAAATATAGTAATTACAAATGTCTACAGTCTATTCTATAGTATAATCTATATATAGCGGGAAATTTGGCGAATTTTAACCAGCATTTGGAGATTTTTGACGTTTTTCACGTATAAAATGGAGTAATTCAAATGTCTACAGTCTATTCTATAGTCTGGTCTATAGTCTAGTCTATAGTCTAGTCTATAGTCTAGTCTATAGTCTAGTCTATAGTCTAGTCTATAGTCTAGTCTATAGTCTAGTCTATAGTCTAGTCTATAGTCTAGTCTATAGTCTAGTCTATAGTCTAGTCTATAGTCTAGTCTATAGTCTAGTCTATAGTCTAGTCTATAGTCTAGTCTATAGTCTAGTCTATAGTCTAGTCTATAGTCTAGTCTATAGTCTAGTCTATAGTCTAGTCTATAGTCTAGTCTATAGTCTAGTCTATAGTCTAGTCTATAGTCTAGTCTATAGTCTAGTCTATAGTCTAGTCTATAGTCTAGTCTATAGTCTACTCTATAGTCTAGTCTATATAGTCTATAGTCTAGTCTAAAGTCTAGTCTATAGTCTAGTCTATAGTCTAGTCTATAGTCTAGTCTATAGTCTAGTCTATAGTCTAGTCTATAGTCTAGTCTATAGTCTAGTCTATAGTCTAGTCTATAGTCTAGTCTATAGTCTAGTCTATAGTCTAGTCTATAGTCTAGTCTATAGTCTAGTCTATAGTCTAGTCTATAGTCTAGTCTATAGTCTAGTCTATAGTCTAGTCTATAGTCTAGTCTAGTCTATAGTCTAGTCTATAGTCTAGTCTATAGTCAAGTCTAGTCTAGTCTAGTCTATAGTCTAGTCTATAGTCTAGTCTATAGTCTAGTCTATAGTCTAGTCTATAGTCTAGTCTATAGTCTAGTCTATAGTCTAGTCTATAGTCTAGTCTATAGTCTAGTCTATAGTCTAGTCTATAGTCTAGTCTATAGTCTAGTCTATAGTCTAGTCTATAGTCTAGTCTATAGTCTAGTCTATAGTCTAGTCTATAGTCTAGTCTATAGTCTAGTCTATAGTCTAGTCTATAGTCTAGTCTATAGTCTAGTCTATAGTCTAGTCTATAGTCTAGTCTATAGTCTAGTCTATAGTCTAGTCTATAGTCTAGTCTATAGTCTAGTCTATAGTCTAGTCTATAGTCTAGTCTATAGTCTAGTCTATAGTCTAGTCTATAGTCTAGTCTATAGTCTAGTCTATAGTCTAGTCTATAGTCTAGTATATGTCTAGTCTATAGTCTAGTCTATAGTCTAGTCTAGTCTATAGTCTAGTCTATAGTCTAGTCTATAGTCTAGTCTAGTCTATAGTCTAGTCTATAGTCTAGTCTATAGTCTAGTCTATAGTCTAGTCTATAGTCTAGTCTATAGTCTAGTCTATAGTCTAGTCTATAGTCTAGTCTATAATCTAGTCTATAGTCTAGTCTATAGTCTAGTCTATAGTCTAGTCTATAGTCTAGTCTATAATCTAGTCTATAGTCTAGTCTATAGTCTAGTCTATAGTCTAGTCTATAGTCTAGTCTATAGTCTAGTATATAGTCTAGTCTATAGTCTAGTCTATAGTCTAGTCTATAGTCTAGTATATAGTCTAGTCTATAGTCTAGTCTATAGTCTAGTCTATAGTCTAGTCTATAGTCTAGTCTATAGTCTAGTCTATTGTCTAGTCTATAGTTTAGTCTATAGGCTAGTCTATAGTCTAGTCTATAGTCTAGTCTATAGTCTAGTCTATAGTCTAGTCTATAGTCTAGTCTATAGTCTAGTCTATAGTCTAGTCTATAGTCTAGTCTATAGTCTAGTCTATAGTGTAGTCTATAGTGTAGTCTATAGTGTAGTCTATAGTCTAGTCTATAGTCTAGTCTATAGTCTAGTCTATAGTCTAGTCTATAGTCTAGTCTATAGTCTTGTCTATAGTCTAGTCTATAGTACTTTTGCAATATTTGCACAATTTTGCATTTCTATTAATTTCGAATTGAATTTTCTAATTCTGAAAATTTAAAATTCAAGTTAGATATAGTACAATGTTGTTAATGTGTCAAAGTAGTTGTGGATTAAATCCAAAGATTTCAATTAATATTTATTTAAAAACATTAATTTAGATATGAAGGAACTTGAATAAACTCCCGTTATGTTCGTTGCGCATATTTACAACTCTTGGCGGGAATTAAAAAAAAAATAATTAACAAATTAACCTATTTATGTGTGATTAAAATATAAAATTATCATTTTATTGTTTCTTTAATAATTAAAAAGTTGTAATATTTAAACGATTGATATCAGAACAAATAAATACCAATGTTTTAACTGCTTTTATTATCTAGACGAAATTTTCTTAAGAAAATTTTTTATAAAATATTTTTGTTTTTTTCCCCCAATAACAACATACTTTAAAACAATTTTTATTTATTTACTTTATTCAATTTTAAATACACACTTTTGTGGGTAAACCAACTGTCTGACTGACTGTCTTTTTTTTTATTATTTTTGAATAAATAAAACATTTCTTTGCTCTCTTATTGACTTTTAAATGAGCTCATGCGTTTTTAAATGTAAATTTTTTTTAATATGTATAAATATTTCTTTTAAATATCGCATTTGTGTTATAACGGAATTCTGTACAAAATTATAAACTTATACTTAAACGAAAATAAAAATCTTAACAAACATTAAAAATTCATTTATATCGCACATATTAAATGTTAAAACAGATCTATATTAAAAAATTTGTTTAGTACATTAAACAAATTTATTTTTACTTCCTTATTTTTTTAAAAACAGCAAAACAAAAATGTTTTAACTTGTTGTTTTAAACAAAAAAAAACTTAATTAGCCAATACATATTACATACTAAAAAAATATGAAAATTTGTATTCTTAATTTACTACCTCTAATTGACTCGTATTAGGACTGCAGTTTTTTGTTTATTTGATAAATGA